CCTGACGTGTAATATGAATAACGGGAGTCAAGGATGAGGTGAACATTAAACTTAAAGGACAGCCTTTTCCACCCTCAGAAAAGGTAACAGAGGATCTCAGTGCTCAACTTGCAGGAAGGATACAAACAGAAAGCAAATATACTAAAATGACTTCAAAAGAGACTAAAGATCAGAAAAATGAGGTCAGCCAAAAGTCTGGTTTACTTCTGACCCCTGATTAGGGATGAGAAAATGGCTGGTTAGCTACCTTTCAGGAAATGGTATCATCAAATGATAATAGACATCAGAAAAGGAGAGTGTCAGAGAGATTGTAGAGGCAGTGGTTCACAAGAGTCATTGAAGTAATGTTGAGAACACAGAAAGGAAAGGAATCAGGACAGTTAATGCTGGCAAAGTGTCAGAGTAACAGGCTGAATGTATGTGTTAATGGTGAGGGAAGAAGTTAAAACCTGGGTTAAAAGCCGATTTATGTAACATACCAGTATTCCATTTCCAACTGGAATGTTTGCTTGACAAGAACCATGAGTCAGGGGACGCCATCTCCACTTGAACTGGGGGTTGTTCCCTAATTTCTACATTTATTGTTGAGTAAAGTAATTGTGACATCAGAAGAAAACCATCCAATCATAGTTTCTGCTTTTTCTCTAAATTTCTTCTCCTTTTTCCAAGTCATTTCTCACTTAGTTTAATCTCTTATCTGTCCAAAAGGTCTCTGTATATTAATCAGTATACTAACACTATAACATATCAATTTATATTTGTAATGAAAATTGGACCCAAAATCTTAGAATTGCTCAGCTGGAATGCCTCTCTTCTCATGAATCGCTGTATTCAAGATGCTAAACATTTGCTTTTTGGAAAGTAAGCATTGCTGTCTCAACAACCATATCATGTAGTCTATGACCATTTCTGTAGCAGTGTTACATTATGACATCAATACTAGCTTGATTCTTGTAACTTTAAAGGGAACATATATAAAAGGCTAAATCTTCAAATAAAGGATAGAAGTTTTTTGTCACAGCCCCTGTGAAGAATATGGATATGATAAATATACAGTCACTCATCTCAGCTCTTTTAAAACTTCATTATTAATGTGTGTGTGTGTGTGTGTGTGTGTGTGTGTGTTGCTTTATTTGTACATCTTTCACATTGGTTTCGGTTTTGACTTAAAAATAGGGTGTATTTATTTTAGACTAGCTTTGAATCCATTATCTTGCCCAGGATGTCTTCAAACTTTTTGAAGTAAATCTTCTCAGCCACTTGAGTGTTGGTATTAGAAATGTGTGCTGGGAGCACTGGCTCCATTTCACCATTTTTCAAAAGATTGTCTATAAACCAGTTGAAATGACTTGACTCTGGAATTACAAGGATGCTTCTAAGATGGTAGAATAGGAAGAAAAAATATTCATATAAGAGTATTTGACTTGGTGTGTGAGATAACAATTTATTTTAGAGGGTCACTGAATAATAAGTAAGATGGATTCTGAGAGGTTGGTTTTTAATAGAGAATGTTTTCTTATACACACAACAAGGAATTTTTTTTATTCTTTAGTCCTTTTATACAGTCCAGTCTTCATCCCCCTCCTGGTCTGCCAGCAGGCAGCTCCCCATTCCCCATCCCATACCTCCTCCTGCCCTCCCCCCAGGCCCAATCTCTAAGAGGATGTCCCCACCACCTCTACCTCACCAGACCTCCCACTCCCTGAGGCCACAAATCTCCCCGGGTTAGGTGCATCTTCTCTGACTGAGGACAGATCAGGAAGTCCTCTGCTTTATATGTGTTGGGGGCCTCATATCATTTGTTGCATGCTGCCTGGTTTTTTGGCTCAGTGTCTAAGAGATCTTGCAGGTTCAGGTCAATTGAGACTGATGGTCTTCCCATGGGCCTGCCTTCCTCCTCAGCTTCTTCTGGGTCTTTCCTAATTCAACCACAGGGGTTCCTGGCTTCTGTCCATTGGTTGGGTGCTAGTATCTGCTTCTGACTCTTTCAGCTGCTTATTATGCCTCTCAAAGAGCTGTCATGCTAGATTCCTGTCTGCAAGCACATCACAGCATCAGTAACAGTGTTAGGCCACCAGGGTCTCCCCTTGAGTTGGATCTCAATTTGGACCTGTCACTGGACCTCCTTTCTTTCAGGCTTTTCTCCATTTTTTTTTTCCCCTCTGCAGATCCTTTAGACAGGAGCAACTTTTGGTAAGAGCTTTTGACTGTGGGATGGCAACCCCATCCCTCCACTGGATGTCTTATCACACTACTGGAGGTGGAATCTACAAGTTGTCTCTCCCCCCTGTATGGCATTTTATCTAAGGTCCCTTCCTTTGAGTCAAGAGATTCTCTCACCTCCCAGGTCTCAGTAACATTCTAGATGGTCAGCCCACCTCCTATATCCTGAGGTTGCCTGTGTCCATTCTTTGTGCTGGCCCTCAGGGCTGCCCCACTCCCTGCAATACCTGATCATGTCTCCCCCTTTCCCTCCCTGTCCCCTCTCCCACCCTCATCCTTCCCTCCCTCTAACCCCCCTGTGATTGCTTTCTTCTCCCTCCCAGGTGTTATTGATGCATCTGAAGGAAAATTTCTATTAAAGATTAGCAAAAAGCGATAATATCTGCCAAGATGCCAATAATGAGCAAGAGTTACTTGACAGCAGCCTTCTGTGATATACTTAATAAAGCTCAAATTCTGAATGTTTACAGATTCCATATTAATAAAAGGCCAAAAACTCTGGAATCAGCCAATCACACTTTTTACAATGGATTTTCAGGATTCAGACTGCAGATGCCGCCTGATAGGTCATCGACGACATTCGTATTGCAGGTAATGATGTTTTTCCTTAGAACATGTTACATGAAATCATTTCTTCAATGCTTACTTTATTAGTCCACCAGCAGTCTGATAATGGTAGGTATCCCATGCTTAGAAATTTGAACAGTGTGTATCATGCTATAATTCTTTAATAAATGATGACTAAATTATTCTAAAATATTTCAATGTTAATTTTGGAAGATTAATCAAATTGACAAACTGATAAATGATGTATCAATTTCTCCTGTCTGTCAAACTTCAACTTACTGTCAAAATTAAGACAGGATGGGAAATATTAACATTTGAAAGTAATTTAATTACTTTAATCATTAGTTTCCACCTTTCCTCTCACAAACCTTACAGTATTTTTGTGTATTTTTAGCTAAAGCCATCAGCCTGGAGACTAACAAATTATTTAATCAATTCTCAAAATGTTTACATGGGATACAAAAAACATTTGATACCATTTGTGAATGGGGGTAATTCTCGTCCCAACTGCTATATAATAGTTATTTAAAATGATATAATTATCTGGCCGTGGTAGTGCATGTCTTTTTTCCCAGCATTCAAGAAGCAAAGGCAGGCAGATCATTGAGTTCAAGGACTATCTGGTCTGTAGAGCAAATTCTAGGAGAGCAAAACCTTGTCTCAGAAAAACAAAACCAAAAATAAACAAAACAAACAATGCCCCTCTTCCCACAAACCTTACATTCTTTATTTACATAACAGATAAAATCACCAATTCCAATATGAAAAAAATTATTTCTTCTTCATGTTTTATAAATGAAGAAAAAAGTTCATATGTTGAAAAAATTACTTTGTTTGCTCTTTGGCAGTATTTCTTAAGCTATATTTGAGGCAATCTGTTGTACCTCTGAAATAATTTTATTCTAATTTCCTGTGCATTCACCTACCTGTAGGGGAGTTAATTTTGATATAATAATATATATTTAAAAGTGTTCAGTTTCAAATAAGAATAGCAGAGGCATTGGTTTAAGACTATCCAAAGAGCCAGTATTAAAGGAACTGATGTTACCAGAGGCTTTAAAAGTTTATAAACATTTAAAAATAACTTATCAGGCTTGGAGACATGGTGTAATTGGCATAAGACACATCTAACATGGAAAAAGACTTGTGTACTTGTGTTCAGTTCCTACAACCATGTAAACTGTGTTTAGGGTCTCATTCCTCAGGAGTTCCTGGTTGTCATTGCTGGTATAGCAAGTTCAAGATCAGATTATGAGAGTTCTAAAAAAGAACTTACTTTATCTGACCCATTTTTAAAAAGATAGCTCTCAGGACTTTTGCCAGAGTTCTTAAAGAAAAGCCATTTGGTATAGTCTTCAGCATTGACACTCAAGAAAAACACATTAGGAGCTTCCAGAACCTTCCTGGAAGCAAGGTGCCTTATCCAAGGCCATTAGGGACTGCCCAAGATACAGAGAAGGGCAAGACACAGCCTAGAGATGCCATTGCTCTCAGTGTCCACTCAGGAATTTTGACTTGGCTGCAAAAGCATTTCTGTCCTGGGCTGAAAAGTCAGTTATAACTTGTTAGAATGTTCCCTTTGAGTGAGAGAGATACAGAAATTCTATTTGCAAGACCTGCTGTTTTGAGAACGTTCTAAATCCCTTTAAAGGGAAATGCCTTTTAACTTTAACAGAGGGACAGGGACAAGGTCAGGAATGAGGTTTTGAATTTACTGCCAGTAATACATAGTGCAAGGCCCTTGAAATGATTCATTTTGTTCATTAGCAGCTGCAGTATTCCAGTGAGGGTTTTTTTTTTTTTAATCTGCTATAGAAGCACAGAAATGTGGAGTTTTGTTCAGATGTACGTGGGAGTGGGGGTGGGGATGGAAGTGGGATTGGCGTGGGGTGGGGGTGGGACGAAGCATGGGATAAACTCTCAATCTCTGGGGTTTGGTGTTAACATGGAGTTGAGGCACCAGATTGTTACTGAAGCAGTGGAGGACACACTATCCCCTCATGTGAGCAGGTATCTATTGGGACAGAGAATCTGGAAGTTGAGTAAGGAACTCTTCTGTGAGCTTTGCAGTGAAAAATGCCATTCTTGGTATGCAGTTGATAAAAGGTTGTGGTTGGGCTCTTTAGGAAATAATCAGAGCTCTTAGTAGCAGTTCCGCCTGTCACTTAGAGCACTTAGTAGCAAGCAGTTCCTCTGTCACTGCAGGCAGACTGAACAGGAAGCAGCAGCCTGCTCCCCTGGGGCTTCCAAGGCCTGTCTAGAGTTCCCCTTAGTCTCTGGATCTTTGCAAAAATCCCTGTACTCATCTTAGCTATCCATCTGCAGCCCCCACGCCTGCAGTTGCAATCAGAGGCACTCCCTGACCCAAAAAGGCATGGCCAGACCTAGGCATCTCCGGGGTCTGGGGATGTGCATTACTGCAGCGCTGGCCTCCTTCATCGCGGGCTTTATTGTCGGTAAGTGTGAAAGCAGGGGCGATGAGACTTCATCGCTGTGAAGAGAAGCCCAGGGTGGAGGGCTGGGATGTCTTCCGAGGAGTTCCCAAAAGAATACAGCAAAAGTAGAGAGCGAATGCAATGCAGTTCTGTCAGAATTCAACTTTATTAAGTATCTATTGAGTGTAGACTACTGCTGTGTCCTGCTGAGATTACTTGGAGCTGTGACTATCTATTGGGATGGAAAAAAATATATATATATATATAACTTAATTTCCAAGCAATTATGGATTAAAGCCGTTGTTTTACATGAATATTTTTGGAGTGCTCCTTCTGTGTCAACAGCTGTTTATGAACTAGATTCTAAGGGAGAGCTGGAAATACCACTCTTCCTGTATTCATAGCACAAGAGAAAGAACGGTTCTTAAGTAAACCTATTGTATTGTGTAATATGGTTGGTTTTGTTGTTGCTGTTTTGGTTTCTGTTTTTTCCCCCAAGTCTGTTCATTAGGTATCCTTATGTTCTCTCTCTCTCTCTCTCTCTCTCTCTCTCTCTCTCTCTCTCTGTATTTTTAATTTGGTGTCTTCTTTAATAGTCAGGAGCAATCAGTGTGCATGTGTTTGTGTGTCTTTATGTGTGTATCTCTGTGTGTTGTTTGTGTGTACCTTTAATTCGACTCCACCCCTCAGGCTGGTTTATGAAGCCTCTCAAAGAAACAACTACTTCAGCTGGTTATCATCAAAGTATACAACAGAAACTCTTATCTGAAATGAAAGCTGAGAACATTAGATCATTTCTTCGGTAAGTTTCTTTTGCATTTTTATCTTAGAAATAGTGTTTATTGCATGAACAAGTGTATTAAAACTTGGCTAACCTTTATTTATATGTTAAACTGCTTATCACGTCATTGATTTTTAAAATGTCTCCATACTGCTGGGGCTGAAACCCACGGACTGTTGCAGAGAAGCTTTTTCTTCTCTCTAACTTCATCCTACAGAAAAATATCTACTTGATGTATTTACAGACATTACATCTTCACATGACCTTGCACTGGAACTGAAAGACATTGTTTTGTTCCTTGTGCATGGATTTAATCAGCATTCTGGATTTAATCAGAAAATATTTATTTTCCTCCAAACCCCTTTCTGTACTGCATTCTGTAGGGAAGAGTTAGGGCACTGAAAGACTCATGACTTAGTAGAAAGGAGATCGGTGTTTCTGGGTCTGATTGTCTTACTTTTTTTTTTGCATTTCGCAAATATAATTTGTGTGTGTGTGTGTAAACATTGAACTAACAACAATAAGGATAATGTAAACTTTTTAACTTCTTTTTCAAGGCAGTTACTAAAACGTGTTGTTGTGTTCAGGCTACTTCAGAATAGAGTGCCACTAACAAATCAGATTTCTTGAATTATAATTTACATAAACTATAACTTCACAACCTACAATTTCAGAGATTTTACAGATGTAAATGAACCACATTTCCTCCTAGGATCTGTCTCTGGCCATTAGTCTAAGAAGGGATGTGAGATACACCCGTGCTCCATGAAAGGCGAGAGAAGCTGTTGAAAGAAAAATGCCAGAGAGAATGCTTTGTATTTGTACTTTACTTGAACATTACTGAATTACTATTCTATTTTGACCATGAAGGGAAACTCGAATGTTACAATCTATTTTCTTTTTTTTTCTGTTTCACATCTGTTTTTCATTTCATTGAGCCCTCTAAATGACTAGAAATACAAGCTCGTGACCAATGCCCCATCTATATTTTAAAAAGTACACTAACGTTTTTCTAATTGCAAAATAGGATCTGTCCATTGTAGAAAGTAACACGACAATGAACTATTATCATAGATACATTTCTTTCTTTTTTTTTTTTTTTTGGTTTTTCGAGACAGGGTTTCTCATAGATACATTTCTATTGCTGTGATAAACACCATTAGCAAAAGTCACTTTGTGAGGAAGGGATTTGTTCATCTTAGAATCCTCGGATATAACCTATCACTGAGGCAAGTCAGGGCAGGAACTCAAGGAAGAAACCTGGTAGCAGAAACTAAAGTGTAAACCATAAATGAGGTTTACCAGCTTGCTCCACCTGGATTGCTCAGTTTGCTTCTTATTGATTTCAAGACCACCTGCCCAGGAATGGCACTGCCCACAGTGACTGATACCCCTCTCCCCATATCAATAATGAATCAGGAAAGTGCCGCACAGAATTGCCTCCACTCCAGTCTGATGGAGCCAACTTCTCAATTGAGATTCCCTGGTCTAGATGACTCTAGGTTGTTAAGTTGAAAACAAAACAAAACAAAAAAAACAAGAAATCCCACCCCTAATGTGGTGGTTTGAATAGGTATGCCCCCCCCATTCATGTGTTTGAATGTTTGTCCCATGGGAAATGGCACTATTAGGAGGAATGGCCTTGTTGGAGGAAGTGTGCTGCTATGAGAATGGGCTTTTGAATCTCCTATGCTCAAGTTCTGCCCAGTGTGGAAACCCAGTCCTTTTCTGCTGCCTTTGGATCAACTCTCAGCTCCTTCTCCACAATCATTTCTGCCTGGGTTCTGTCATGCTTCCCTTGTAAGCCAGTCTCCAATTAAATGTTGTTCTTTATAAGAGTTGCTCTGATCCTGATGTGTCTTCACAGCAATAAAACCCTAACTAAGACACCTAACCAACATAATTATGTAAAGTAGAAATTAAATATACCTAACCTCAATGTTTTTTCCTCTAGTTGTAAGATAACTTGTCTTAACTCATTTGTACTTTTAAAAAGAAATATTTGAAGTGTTATATATCTATAGTCTGTAGTTTTGTGGGTCAACAATAATTTGCAGATAGGCTAGGTAATTATTCAAGTACATGGAGAAATATTTATGTCTGCGAAAAAGGACTCTTGCAAAGTCTAAAAAGGCTGAAAAGGGAAGAAAGTGAAAATACCCACTGCTGTTGAGCAGAAGCTGGTGAGCACAGTCACAGTGAATGTGACTGAAAGCTGGAAGGATGGAGCAGATGTATTTTGGGGTTTGAACATTATAATTTAGAACATACAAGACTATCGAAGCATCATGAACAATGGTGTAATAAGGTCACATCAACTATTGAAAAAATAATATTTCTCTGAATCAGAAAGATATAATTTAGGTTCTAGCCCAAGCATTTATTAGCTGTAAAAATATGAACTACTTTCCCAGTTCCTTTATTTGCAAAACAGGGAAAAGAAAGAAGGGTTGTGAAGATGGAGATGAAATGTGAAAGTGTGCATGCGAAGTTTTCAAGGAAAATTCACCTTCATGCCCATGGGTTTAATTTGGTGTGGTTTTGTTTTGTTTTGTTTGGCAAGGGGTTTTCCTTTAGTTAGCTTTCAAACTAATTTACAAAATTGTTTATTCTTTCTATAAGTGGGAAAGAAAAGAAACTTTATACCTATTATTCATCTAAAGCAGAATAAAACTCACCAATAACTTAACTGTGGTTCTTGGGTCATTAAGATGTGATGGCTGATTTACACCCAGAACTATGAAAATTTCCTCCAAAGCAAATCAATAGAATAGTGCTTTTCATGTCACAAACAAGATCTTAGCATTAGAGGATAAAAAAGTTCATGTAGCTAATTTCAAGGAAATGAATACAGTGCTACCTGCATGTTACAGCTGACTGAAACATTGCAGCCAAATGCAAAACACTTGGCTTAATGCTCTTAGCAAGCATTAAGACTTCTCCCTCAAAATGATACTCATAAACACCAAGGTGTTTCATTATTGCTACAGAGCTGTGACATTCTTAAAGGGGTCTTTTCACATTTGGTCCTGTGCTATTTTTTTTTTTTTTTTTTACAATGGACGATGTTCTTTCCAGAGGGAGGATAGCACGGAAATTGGAGTTGTGCTTAATTACTTTAAATAGTCTAGCTCTCTCTTTTCTTCTCTCTCTGTGTCTATACCCTTTTTATGTTTCTCTCTCTTTCCCCCACCACTCCTCATGGGAATTTACCTGGCTTCAGTCTCTGGGACCAGAGACTTTGCCTGCCAGAGAGCAGCTTCCCAATAAATCTGCCCCTTTAAAAAAAAAGATTTATTTATTTTATATATGTCAGTACAGTGTTGCTGTCTTCAGACACACCAGAAGGGAGGCATCAGATCCCATTACAGATGGTTGTGAACCACCATGTGGTTGCTGGGAATTGAACTCAGGACGTCTGGAAGAGCCATCAGTTCTCTTAACTGCTAAGCCATCTCTCCAGTCCCCTAAACCTGCCTTTAATATTAAAATTTAGTCATGTCTAAAAAATTAATATATCCAGGTAAGATTTTTTCTATGTTTGACACATAATTAATACTTGACTGCCTGCTCTCTTAATTCTTACTTTTATTCCTCTCATTTTAGTTCCTTTACAAAACTTCCCCATCTGGCAGGAACAGAACAAAATTTACTGCTTGCCAAGAAAATCCAAACACAGTGGAAGAAATTTGGATTAGATTCAGCCAACCTGGTTCATTATGATGTTCTCTTGTCTTACCCAAATGAGACGAATGCAAACTATATATCCATTGTGGATGAACATGGAACTGAGGTGATGTAGCATTATTGGAAATTTTCATACATTGCAATGTCTGGCTTTATGACAGGATTTCACCTTGTAGCTCTTGCTGGGCTGAAATCTGCTGCATGAATCAGACTGGCTCCAAATTAGTGGCAATCCTCTTATCTCTGCTCCTGAGTTCTAAGATTCCAGGTGCACACAATCATGCCTAGTCCATTACTTGCTGCTGTTTCTTCTTCTTCCTCCTCCTCTTCCTCCTCTCCCTCCTCTTCTTCTTCTTTTAGATTTATTTATTTATTTTATGTATATGAGTACAGTGTTGCTGCCTTCTGACACACCAGAAGACGGAATCAGATCCCATTACAGATGGTTGTGAGCCACCATGTGATTGCTTGGGAATTGAACTCAGGACTTCTGGAAGAGCACTCAGTGCTCTTAACTGCTGCGCCATCTCTCAAGCCCTCATTGCTTGCTTCTTGCTTCTTTATTGATTGGAATGCAGAGTCAAGTAACATTAGAAATTTATTAGTGCAGTACCACTTCTATAATTCAGAAAAGTTGGTATACTGCAAACTCTTCAGTGTCTATTTGTGTTAAGTGTGGCAAAGTTCTTCAGGCCAGGATGAAGATTTACACATAGCTCTTTTTCTTTAAGTAAGGTAAGGCATACAAAGGGATACATCATTTAAAATCAGTGGAGTAAGTGCTGGGAAGAGAGAACTAAGGTTCATGATTTACACAGGAACTGGTCATTTGGACTAAAATGGGAGATAAAAAGTGTTCCTGAAGGAATTCATATATGAGCTAAAGAAAAGAATAAGAATTTAACCACATGAAACGGAAAGCAAGGTAAGAGAGTTCTAGTCAGAGGAAATCACTAGAAATGCATGATGATGTAAAACCTGCTCATTGTTTTCAGTAGGGTTTACCTATTTAATTACAAAGCCTTGTCTTAGGATATGCAATCCTAAGTGTAACTCAGGAGGCAAGATGGACAGTGCCTTACTTGTGATCTGGGATTATTCTATGTAACATAACCTGTTTGAATTCTTGCTAGATTTTTAAAACATCATACCTTGAACCACCACCAGATGGATATGAGAATGTTACAAACATCGTACCACCATATAACGCATTTTCAGCCCGTGGTATGCCAGAGGTAAAATGCTACATTTTTAAACGTGCATGGCTCTGCATCTTTCTTTGCATATGAAAGCCTGTGTAGAGAAATATGACTAAGGAGACTTCACATGGAGACCAAATATGTGTACTCATTGTTTGATGTTCAGTATTATGAACACCTTCAAAAATTAAAAACACTTTCTTTTTTTTAATTATAAAAAAGAATATAAGGAAAAGAAAAATCAAAGCAAACAAATGCCCTAAAAGATACGGCTCCAAGAAACAACAAAGTCAAGGAATGTGTTTTAGTTCAGGGAAGGCAACAGAAGCTTTCAGCAGCTTTCCCAATTACTTACAATGTGAATTTTAAATTATTCTTATCCATCCATCTTTGTAATTCATACTATAGATGTTCTTTTTTTTTTTTTCCCCGAGACTGGGTTTCTCTGTGTAGCCTTGGCTATCCTGGAACTCTCTCGGTAGACCAGGCTGGCCTGGAACTCAGAAATCCACCTGCCTCTGCTTCTGCCTCTGCCTCTGCCTCTGCCTACCAAGTGCTGGGATTAAAGGTGTCCACCACCACCGCCCGGCATAGATGTTCTTAAAATAATGTTGTAGTTGGAAATTAAACATTTGGAACTTTAAGAGCAATCTCCAATTTATAGCCATTTGCAAACAAAAAAAATGTTTTGTTTTTTTTTCCCTATGGAATTCTCACTGGGGAAACAAACCACACTTAAGGTTAGCTGCATGTCCAGCAGGTGATTGCAGACACAAGACAAGTTCAACTGCATCTTCAGAGGCTCTTTATCTCATAATGTTAAGCCAGGACTTTATTTTTTAATAATCTACAAGTCCTTTCCATATACACTATGGCTTCCTGTTTTGTGTTTAGAAGCAACTCCTGTGTGTATGAATACGTGTATCTTTGCATCAATATGCATTTTTTGTGCTTTTTCTATGCTCTTTTTGTTTTGTTGTTTTATCCTATTCTGATTTGTTTGTTTTATTTTATCTTACTGAGTTTTATGTTTTTATTACTCCTTAGATGCTTTGTTTTCTAAGGAGAGAGAAGGGGTGTGGATCTAGATGGGAAGGGAGGTGGAGAAGAACCAGAAGGAGTAGGGGGAAGGAAACTTGTAATTAGAATATGTTATATGAAAAAGTATTTTAAAAATTTGAAAATAGAAGATGAAAACCAAAATGCAAACACAGTTAAGATTGTCCAAGCAGCATATGTTTCCTGCTGATCTTTTCTTCTGAGAACAACTATTTAAAATATCTTAGTCAACTCTTTAATGATCTTCTTGAAGTATTAAATAGATGTTGTAATGAGTTCCAAATGATAGTTCATCCCAAATAAGGGCAGAAAACTGCCAATACAGTTTTGAAGAATGAACTTACTTTAATTTTTTTCTTTAAGGCAGCAGCATATGTATCTTTCCAATTTCCCTGTAGGGAGAGCTTGTGTACGTCAACTATGCCAGAACTGAGGACTTCTTCAAACTAGAAAGAGAGATGAACATCAACTGCACTGGCAAGATTGTTATTGCAAGATATGGGAAAATCTTTAGAGGAAACAAAGTACAGTATTCTTTTTTCTAGAGGGAAGGGGAGAGGTTTAATCTCACAAGTGTAAATGATCAGTTATATTCATTCTCTGAAATTGCTCTTAATTTTGTTTATTTTTTGGTTGTTCTCCATGGGTACACAGAAGACTTTATTTTTATATAACTTGATATTTGCAGAAAGAAAATTATTTTGTTAGAAGAGTAGTATTTGCTTTTTAAAAGTCAATAGGAGGAAATTCATATCAGTTAAAAGGAACATTTCCTCTGTATCACCTAACTTAATTTTCTAGACATAATCAATTTTAGTCACCCTCTCCTTGTTTAATTCTTTGAATTCTAAATATGTGCATATGTACACCTTATGCAATTATTATTAGACTTTAAAGAGGCCTTGATATACTGTATGTTCTGTAACAATGTTCTCACTCAGCTGTTCATAACATAACCATGTAAACACACTGAGGGCTGTACAGTATGGTAGCAGCTAAGTGGCTGGGACACTAACTCCACACCTGGCCCAGGTAGACCTTTTCATTGTCATTTGCTCTCTTGATGTCAGTGTCCTCATGAGTGGAATAGGAATGCTAATAAAACCAGTCTCATAAACTTCTTTATAGGATCCTAGTACTGGAAAGCACCTCAGTAGCAAATGAATACTAGTAATTTCTATATTACTATTTATTAAATGCCTCATTAATGTAAATGTGAACATAATATTTTTTAGAACCAATAAACAATTTAGCTAATCATTTTCCATTAACTGATACTTTCCTTAGTTGGACTTTAATACGTTACTACTGTAAATAATTCTATTTAATATTCTTCACATACTTCAAGTATTTGTATATAATTTTTATATAGAATAATAAAAATGTTCTTTCAGAGTTTTGATGAAATAAATAATTGCCTTTCCAGAAGGCTGGGCCGCTGATGTGGCTACGTACTTTCTTAATATTGCATATGAGAGAGCCAAGAGTAACAGTTACCTACACACTTGCCTTCTGCTACACTTCTGATGATTAGGAATTCAGTTTTTTCACTGGATAAAGTTCCATATTCTTAGCAGTGTCCAGATGGTTAGATTCGTACAAAGCCACCTTTGAAGGATACACTGTATCTGTTCTAGACAGTTTAAAAAGTATTTGTAAAGTACTTGCTCAATGATGTGCAAGATTTGGTGGGTAGTTGTTTAAGATACTAGCATTCTTCACATTCTAAAAAAAAAACACCTCATTTTAGAACGGGAGATAAACACTTGAAAGCTATTTTAATATATTATGAACTGACCTATAATAGAAATACATATAATAATAAGTATAAAGAAGAAGGGAGATTTCAGTTTTTAAGGTTTGGGAATGACGGGAACAGTTCATAATGGATAATTTAGTTAGGATTTTGTAAGATAAATGACCATTTATTAAGTTTAGCAAGAAGGAAATTAGTTTGAAGGCAAGTATTACAAACATACAACAAAACCATCAAAAGCAAGTATTAAACTACTTTTGTAGGAATAAGCCAGTCCTTTGTATTCCTGCATCATGTTACATATTGCTCTTACAGGTCAAAAATGCCATGCTAGCTGGAGCCATGGGAATCATTCTATACTCTGATCCAGCTGACTACTTTGCCCCTGATGTACAGCCATATCCCAAAGGATGGAACCTTCCTGGAGCTGCAGCCCAGAGAGGAAATGTTTTAAATCTGAACGGGGCCGGTGACCCACTCACTCCAGGCTATCCAGCTAAAGGTAATGGTGAAATTTGTCAGTTTACTCCTGCAAAATATCCCTTGCTATTCTAGCTGTATAAAAACAAGGACACATTAAAGTAAGCATTACAACATAACTAAAATTATATATGCCTTTATGTCATTTGGACTTTGATTGCTGGGAAATAAGTAATTTCTCCTGCATTATTTTGGTTTTAAACTTCCACCAGATGGGAATGAGGTATTGGATGACTTTTCCTTTTTTAAAAGCAGGGTGAAGATTCACAAAACCTGATATTCATAATTAAAGCAATGCAGAATTTTAATCTTATAAGTTATATTTCTAAATGACATAAGGATTTTGTTATTTAGTCATAAATTTCTTTCTTTCTTTTTAAAATGAGTTTTTAAAGTTACTTTAAATGCCCCTAATCCAAGCACTTGGGAGTCAGAGGCAGGTAGATAGATCTCTATGAGTTTGAGTCCAGCTTGGTCTACAGAGTTCCAGAACAGCCAAGGTTACACAGAGAAACTCTGTTTCATATAATCAAAGCATAAAAGAGGAAAAAACAAAGAAGTTACTTTAAATGTAAAAATTTTTGGCATATGTGAAACTGTCTGTCTCTACAATTAGATAACAACTATAACCACTACCTCCTCAGATAGTTTCTTCTTATTACCTTTCTTGCAATTCTTATCTCCTCAGTACCCATCTCTAGGCACTCAATGATCTATTAGCAGTTCTTTCTGAGATCCAGACATGGCGGCATGTGTTTTTACTTATTTGTTTCTATTATTGCATTGATTGGCTATGCCATAGTTTATCCCTGTACTTGTTGCTGGGTATTTGAGTTGTTTCTGTTTTTGAAGCTTCTACAATGAATGTGTATACGTTTTTAATGTAATTTATGTAATTTGCTTTTATTTTTCTTATGCAAATACTTGGAAATCAAAGGGAAAAATACAATGTTGGATGTATAATGTTTTAAGAAAAATTTCAATTGGAGCCTTGTCAGTAGTTAGTGCGGTGATACTATTTAGTTCTGCATTCTAATAGGTAGTCAAATCCTCAAATTAGTCTCCTTCTTTTTACAATATATGTTCCATATGTTCATTGAAGATTTCATATATATATATACAATGTATTTTAATATTTGACCCTCCCCCAACTTTTCTGAATCTAAGCTTTCTCTCATCTCTCCCATCCCAGCTTCATGATTTTGGCTTCTTTGTTTTTTGAAACATGCTTTCACTGTCTGTCCTTGAATTTGAGATCCACGTGCCTCTGCCTCCTAAGTGCTGGGATTAAAGGTATATTTACATTTTAAAATTTTTATTTAATAACCCACTGAATTCAATTAGGGTTATTCATATATACATAGGTATACGACCTATTTTTTTGTAATTATTGTGGATTTTTGGTCCTTCATCATGTGAATTTTAAAACTAGTTTAATTTACTAATTTTTTTCCTGAGACAGGGTCTCTCTATGTTTCCCTGGCAATTATAAAAACTTTCTATACAGACCAGGCTGACCTTGAACTCACAGAGATCCTCTTATCTCTGCTCTCTGAGTGCTGGTATTGAAGGTATGCACCACTATATGCAGAAATGTTTCTAATTTTGCATTTTTAATTTTGTGTGCATATGCACGTGGATGGCCACATGCAGCCATGAACATGCATGCATGTGAATTTTTATTCTACTGTGCTAATGTAGGAGTATATGTATGTGTATGCACACATACATGCATGTGCATGTTTGTCCTCCTGGGCAAAAATGTGGCAGTCAGAGAACAACTTTTTTGGATTTACTTTTCTCCTTCCATTATGTACATGGTAGGGACTGAATTCAGCTAATCAGGCTTTGGAACAAGAGCCCTAAACCACTGAGCCACCTCACCACACTGAAGTAGCTGGACAATTTCTGAAAAAAAAAAACTAAAAAAAAAAAAAAAAAAAAAGTCCCCAAACGAAACAAAACAAATTTCCTTGGAATTTGAGAATGAATGAAATTTGTATATTAATGCTGGGAGAAATGCTATGTTAAAATTGAAGCATTCTGATGTGGAGACAGATAGAATGAGCCCTCCATTCTTTAATTTCTCTCAAGAATGTTCTATAGTTACATTATATGCATCATTCTTTTATGAAATTTATCCAGTGTCAGACCATAGAATATGATTTTGTAAGTTATACTTTAAAACTCAATTCTAGTTTCTCATTATTAAGAGACACATGGTATTGTATACGAAATGAATGTACCTTATATTCTACAAATTCACTGATTTGACCAACCAGCTCTAAGCCTCTGTAATTTTGTTAGCTTTTGCATAGAGGACATATTATTTCCAAATGAAAATGGTTCCTTTGGTTTATAGTATGATCATGTTTTGTTTATTTTTTTCCCTTATACTGGTCAACATATCCAGTAGAACTACTGTGGGTATCCTCATTTTTACTATAACAGAAAGGCATCCAGTAACCTCTTAAATATCATTTTAGCTCTAGATGTTCTGCCAGTTTAGAAAGGCTACTTGCACACTAATGTAACTAGAGTGCTTGGTAGAATATCATTTTTCTGTGTATTGATATATTAATCTCAGCATGTTTTTACTTTTGTTAAAACATACCGACTTTCTGAATTCAAAAACAACTGCAAATGTTACCATAAACTATAACTTGGTCCCAATGTACTGTGATTTAAAAAATATCTTATTGACTCGGGCACCTCCGCCTCCCATTCTGCGGGTCTCAGGGTATCCGGCCCTGAGTGGAAATCGCAGTCCAGGTCCCTTCCCTGCCCTTTGCGCGCATCTTCTGTGTGTCCTGCACGAACACAGTTGATCTCGGGGACCTAGGAGCGCGCGGTGAAGTGTGGGGAAAGCAAGATCCCGCGTGCCCAGTTGCCTCCCTGTGCCTCAAGGTCGCCGATTCCTCAGCCCCCAAGTCTTCCGTGCTGGCGGATCGCTGGAGTCCGTTTCCATGGTGAGGTCCTTGGGCGCCTGAGTGAGAAAGGTGACAAAGACACAGGGGAGGAGGGGCTGTTCTCTCCACCTTCTCCACCTCTTTGTCCAACCACCAGCCCCACCTTACCCTCCTGACCTTGGGTAGCTGGTGCTTAGAGAATAAAGGATTTTAATGTGCGCTTATGCAGCGCTTGGTGTTTGCAAGGGTTTCTCCACTACAGAGGCAACTTTCTCTGTAAATGTACCCACTGGTTGACCCCACCCCATCCTGGATGGGACAAACTGGGGTCATTAGAAGTTAGATCGGTATAGTTACTATTTTCTGAGCGTCTACTGTATACCAGGCCCTTAACAAACGCTTGTGACCCACTGAGAAGTAGGATTTAAGCTGACAGACCCTCCAACTCTCTATTTGAAGCCAAGTGTCCTGGTACACAGTTGACATCTCAGTATCCAAGAGGCTGCATCTGGAGGACTGCTGTAAGTTCCAGCCCAGCCTGACCTACACAGTGAGACTCTGTCTTAAAATACTTAAAAAGGGGGTGATGGGGAGGCTACAGAGATGGTTCAGTCTGTAAAGTACTTGTGCTGCAGGCATGAGGATCTGAGTTCGAATCCCTAGCATTCACATAAAAAGCCAGCCATACCGTCCTATACTAACTTGGCCCTGGTATAGGAGGATGCCAGGATCACCAGGACTCTCCAGCTACCATCTCACCTAAGCAGCAAGCACCAAGCCAAGGAGGACCCTGTTCCAAAAGGTCAGGTAAAGCTAGGGGCCTCTGTAGTCTCAGCCATGTGTGAGACAGGAAGAGGGATTACATGAGGTCAGCCTGCATAGTGAGACCCTCTTTCAAAAACAAAACCAAAGTGGACATTTGAAAGGATCCATGAGCATCCAGGCACTGCAGGGCACACAAATAAAACAATATGAAAAGAAAAATCGGCAAATGGTGCGCTCTGAATGGGCACAGAGGGCCACACTCACTGAGTATTCAGTGTGTGCCCTGCTGCCATGCACCCACTTAAAACAAAACCAGAGAGATTTATTTGGTGTGGTGGTCCCAACCTGTCATTGTAGCACTCCGGATGAGCCAGAATTGTTGTGAGTCCCAGGCTTGCCTGGGCTACAAAGTGACAGCCAAAGACCAGCAATGCTAGATAGTGAGATTCTGTCTCGAAAAATAAATACTTAAATAAGGAATAAAATATTAAGAGTTCAGGGTAATCTTTGTCTATATATAGACTTCCAGGTCACTCTGGACTACAGGTGACTGTCTATAAAAACATGAAAAGATGGGCTGGAGAGATGGCTCAGCAGTTAAGAGCACTGGCTGCCCTTCCCAAGGTCCTGAGTTCAATTTCCAGCAATCACATGATGGCTAACTACTATCTCTTAATGAAATCTGATGCCACCTTCTGGTATGCAGGTGTACATGCAGATATACCTTAAAACTTTAATATATATATATATATATATATGTGTGTGTGTGTGTGTGTGTGTGTATTAAGATTAGCGTTAAATTTTCTTTGAGGATATTTTTGTTCATGGTTATAATTTATTGACACCTTATATTTTTATGCCACAATATCAGAGTAATGCTGAGATCTTGTAACAAGTTGGGAACTATTAATTATTCCCTGGGTGTGGGTCTCTGTTTTTGTTCTCATCTGCTGTCAGAGTAAGCAATATTATATTATATAAAATCTTTTATTTGTAAGTATTGGGCTAAAATCTGGGTCTGAAATTTTTGTTTGGTTTGTTTTCTTGTTTTGTATATGCTCTTATCTTTTGGTTTTCTTGTTTTTATATAGGAATTTTTAAAATTACATACTGGCTTTTTAGGTTTTGGTTTATTTTCCAATTGGTGTTGGTAGTTTGGGTCTTTCAATAACTTTTCTCTATTTCATAAAACTTGTCATACTTATGGATAGAGACATGTTTTTATCTCTAGTTGTATAGATGTTTTCTGTTTCTTGGATTTCTGCTCTGAGGTTTATATCACTTCTCCTGCTTATTTTCCTTCTTTTATTTGTCTTCCACTAATATCGTGAGGTAGAATCTGAGTCCA